TCTCTCATTTTGGACTTGTGCAGTTCTGACAGGAGAGTGTTTACGACCCACTGCATATGAAACCATTAACGGTTTATTTGCTGGACCTGGATTTTCTTTAACTGGGGCTTTGCCTCGGTCGTTAACTGAAGGACCGAGGCGATCCGCCATAGTGATCTTAAACTTGGACAAATCTGGGCTAACCCAGGGTTTCACTGCTGATGCAGTAGACGGGTCCGGAACAGATGTTGGTGGTGTCTTCGGCATCCAAACTCTACGGTTCTTCGGTGGCTTTTCAGACACCGTCTCCTTCTTGGTTCCTTGGGCTTGTTGACGAAGAGCACGAGCATGGGCGGCCTTCGCTTTACGCCTTTGTATCCGTTCCTTAAGGGTTGAACGGGCCCTTTTGACGAGAGTCCACTCCTCCGTCGTAAGTTGTGCAGAAATATGATTATCTTGCCGTTGAGGCAACTGAATCATTTTCTGCCTCCTCGACTCTAGGTCCGCATAGTAATGGACTCCGTCGGTTTGTTGCATGGCTTTAGCCAATTATCGAGCACGGCGCTGGCGCTGTCTCTGACGAGCTCTTTTCGTCAGCACCGGTGAGCTATTGATCAATGACTCCGTAACTGGTGTGGAGTCATTTGGAGCAGAAACGCTGCAGGCAGATTCCTTAACAACAATCGGGCAAGAATCTTTGCCTGCGGCCTCCGTTGGAATTGCAGACTTGAAAGTTTTCGAAATCTTCCTATATTTGCAAGACGAGGAAGATTTCGCGGATTTCGCCTGATCAAATTCGTATTCGATCTCTTCATTGACGATGATCTTGATCGGTTGCGACACCGCGGCCTCGGCAGCGAGACCGCTGGCTCCCACTGTGGTCGCCAGCTTGTTTGAGTCAAAAGTCGGTTCTGTTGAGGAATTCATTATAACTTTGTTTGATTACAACAAATTCGAAAGAATAATCTTTTTATAAGATTTTTTTCTACACAACAAAGTGAAAAATTATAACTTTTGAGAAACAAACACAAAAATCGTCTATCGATCTTTGTTTTCGTGGAACTTTGCCTGTGCCAGGAACGCTTTCGTTCGTGGACCGCCGAATCACAGATCGTGAAGAGGGGGTTTACTGATTCTGACTTCGTTTATCGAAGTGAGAAATTGAAACAATATCTTATCGAAGTAAGATAGTCGTTCTTCTTAAAATCAAGTCAAAGCTTAATTTCAAGGATTTGCAAGAAAACTCAAATCTGCTCTCTTTGCTCTGGAATGCTCGTAAAAATGCTCGATCCTCGTCAGAAGTGACCCTAGGGGGGTATTTATAGCCTCAAGGGTCTGTAACTGCAAAAACTCAGCAATCATAGAAATCAGTACGGCGAGACAGTGTTTGCTGTCTCGCTGGGGCGCGAGACAGTAAATTTGCTGTCTCGCCCAGCGAGACAGTAAAATACTGTCTCGGAAAACGAATATTCCTGGGTAGTTTTTGTTTTAACTGCCTTCCCACGTTTCAAACTCCGTTATTTTGGCAGTTATTCACGTGATTTTCGTCCACGATGTTTCCCACGTCCCTTGGCAGTCAATGGACACGTGTAGGGCAGTTACAAATGTAGTTTTGACCATTTCAACACTGTCTCGCTGGCGAGACAGCAAATACTGTCTCGCTGGCGAGACAGCAAAGCCTGTCTCGCTGGCGAGTAGTTTTGACCATTTCAACACTGTCTCGCTGGCGAGACAGCAAATACTGTCTCGCTGGCGAGACAGCAAAGCCTGTCTCGCTGGCGAGACAGTTCATACCTGCTTTGATTTTCAATATGAGATCCCTTTGAGTGATCTTCTCTATGTTTGGGATATCTATTAGCATTTTTTGACGCCTACACAGTACAAACAATAAACTCAAAACTCAAACTTAAAGCAACCAAATTTCCCTCTTCTTCTTCTTCTTCTTCTTCTTCTTATTTTTTTGGTGCACTGAATTAGGTACAAATACTATGTCCACTCCCCAAAAAATCATCTTTTGTTCTCTTTCTCATCATCATCATCAACAGGAGAGCCCCAAGAATTGTGCAGATTCTGATCGGACAGGCTCGAGTGAATCTGCATCATCCTCCTCATCCCTAATCCAAGCCTACACATCTGCCTCATTGCCTTCTCAACCTCCTCCTCGTCCTCATTTGATTTGCTCCCCGAGCCCACAACCTCTTTGTTAATTCTTCATCAGTCCATTCACTAGCATCTTCATCGTCTTAAACCCCGACATCCAATTTTTCCCCATTGCATCCTTATAAACTCCCATGGAAGCCTCAAAATTTCCACCCTAACACAAATAATGTATCAAGCTAAAATAACACTGACCCTCTCCAGACACAACCCTTTTCTTCCCCATCTCCTCATACACTCTTTTAGCCTCCTCCAACATCCATTCTTTACAAAATCCAACAATCAAACGATTATATATCACCCAATTCGGCTTCATCCCCTTCGACGACATCTCCCTATACAAATCCTTCACCTCCCTCATCCTCTTCAACTTACATAGCCCCTCAAATCCTCACATTATACACCGAATTCGAACCCGGGTTTAACCCATACTCTTTCATCAACCCAAAACCTTATCCACGTCCTCCAACTTCTGCTCCCTATAGAAACCCGAGATCGCATTAGTAAAAGTGGTCGAATTGGGCTTGATTTTCCTCTTCATTTCAACGAACATCGAGTAGGTGGAGCGAGTGCAGCCCGATTCGAGAAACGACTTGATGAGGGTGTGTAGGGTGTAAATTTTGATCTCTCGAAAACAGGGAGCTTCGTTTGTATTAATAAGAAGGCTTATTACAAACTAATAAATCAAATGTTTACAACAGAAGTGGAGGGAATGCCCTCCTTGTTTAACGTGGGTTCATCGGTGGCGATAGGATGCTTCGCTCGGTGCTCGTGCCGAGTCTGCTTCCCTTGGATGATCCGATCGAAGTTGCTGCCGGAGCTTCAGTACGCAATAGAAACTCGGTTCGATGGAGTTTGGGTCTTCTAGTTCACCGACGATCGGGGCTCAGAACTAGGAAGTGGCGCTGTAATGCAAAAGTGATGCAGAGAGCTTGTCGTCGACTCCGTTGGGAGTCAAGAGCCAGTGGTTCAGTTAACTGATTGAATTAATCAATTAACTATGTGTGAACCTCTTTCCTGTAGCCGGGCGAGGTTCTTAAATAGAGAAGAGATGGCGTGGCCGCTCCTTGAATCATGGGATGTGACCATACATTATTGAGAGACATCTTGTCGCTCCTCTGTACTACGAACCGTCACTCGATGGGTCGTGCTTCACGTCCTGTCGCCTAGGAGCGGTCGTCCATTACTCGAGTGGATTGGGCTAGCTCACTATGCGCTGGCGGTTCCGGCTCTTGACTCAGACAGCCGAGGTGAACTGCATTTATGAATGTTCAGGTCGACTTGACACCTGCCCAATCATTCGTACTGTGAGCGGTCGCTTGACGGTCTTGGGGTACTGTTCCCTCTCCCTTGATTTGTGGGATTTGACCACTGATGTAACTATTCCCATACTCCAAGTGGGCAGTTGACAGTGAGCTGGCGAGTCTGCAGCTTGGGTCTGCAGGCGAGCTTAGGACTGCAGGCAGACTTGGGTCTGCAGGCGAGCTGAGTCTGCAAGCGAGTTTGGGACTGCAGGCAGACTTGGGTCTGCAGGCGAGCTTGCAGGCGAACTGGGTCTGCAGGCGAGCTCAGGTGCGCAGGCAGACTTGGGGTCTGCAGGCGGATTTGAGACTGCAGGCAGAGCTGGGGATTGCAGGCAGACTTGGGTCTGCAGGCGAGCTTCCTGAGCATGGATCGAAGAATAGGCCGTAACTTTCGAACGCGTAAGTCGGAATTGGATCGAATTATATAGAAATCGCCTATCTCGACGAGATGGGGCAATCCGAACCGAGCCAGAAGGCTTCGTTCGCTTTCCTCCGTTGCCAAATTCCTTACGGTTTGGGAGATATCTGCGTTTTCCCCTTTTTCTGCTATTTCGGGCGAGGTTTTAGCAGTTTTGTTCTGAACTTCTCTGATAAGGATTAAAGACAATTTTTATTGCCTACAGGGTGTTGTAAGTGTCGACGTCTGGGACGATGTTGTAGGGCTCGACGAGGTCGGTGAAGAACTTGGCGGTGGCGGGGTGGTCGCCGGTGAGGATGGAGGCAAAGAGGAGGGAGTTGAGGGTTTAGGTGGAGGGATGGGAGCGGAAGGCAGAGGCGACATCGTCGAGGAGGTGGGCTTGGCCGAAGAGGACAATGGAGTAGGACACGTTACGGCGGAGAGGAGGAGGGAGAGGAGGGAGCGGACGGAGGAGGGAGGAGGAGAGGCGGGATACGGAGAGGGAGAGGGAGGTGGGCGTTGAGGTGGGAGGATGGGGAGAGGAGGCGGCTAGAGCAGATGGAGAGGACGTGGGAGGCGTGCCGGCGGCGACGGAGGAGGGGGAGGGATCGGCGGGGGATTTGTTTGAGGAGAGAGGGCGGCGAGGGATTTTTTACTTGGAGGTGAGGACATCGAGGGGTCGGAGGGAGAAGATCAAGGAGGAGCGAGGTTGAGAATGGACGCTGATGGAGGCGGCGGAGGCGGAGGAGCATGGACATTGCGGCTTGAGCAGGTTTTAAATTGGGAAGAAGAGTAAATTGGAAAGTGATTTTCTTGGGCAGTAGGTTTGGGGGTTGGTTGCACATATTTTTTAATTTTAAGGCTTGGGGGTTATAGTTCTTGGGCTGGGGGTGAGGATGCTTGGCCCAACTTTCTTTGGTTCCTCCAAGCAATTTTTTCTAAAATAAAAAAAAGTACTAGTTAATTACCTTAGTCACCCAATTTCCCAAAGGTTTAATAAATGTCAACAATAAATAGTTTTACTTGAAATTCAAGCATTTTAAGGTAACTCTATCCAACTATTAACGTTAACAAATGCCTTCACGAAACGAAACCAGTTTAAAAAATCTTCTACAATTATTTCACTGTTCTCAGTCTCACGGATTACGGGTCGGGTACGGTCCGCGGTTGTGGTTCTGGTCCAATTCCAAGCTCCGAAAAGATGAGCGCTTTGCTCTCCTTTTTAAACTCAAACTCTCTATATGAACATCACTATCTGCTCTCTCTCTCTCTGCTATGCTCTGCTCTCATCAATGGAGTTCAGCCTTGAAGATCCGTACCCAGACTTTCCAACGGAAGACCTCTTCGCCATGGAGAATAACTACAGAACCTCCATGTGGGCTCCCCTCTCTTTCGCCCGTCGCCGATCTCTCATCCTTCTCATCCTCCGGGTTCCTAACTCAAAACCCAGCATTCTACCTTCTCAAGAACCAACCCCTCAAACTTAAACCCCTAACCGATCCAATGCATTAATGATCCCCGCAGGTCCGGCGATCCCGCAATCTCCATCGAAGAACGACCTATCTCGCCATCAACTACGTCGACCGCTTAATCCACAGCCGGCATTTTCCCGTGAACAATCTGACTTCTATACGCAATTCCTGCACTCGTTATTATCCGAGGTGATCTAATTTGCTCTGTTCTTCAGGAAGTCGACCACATCTCGCTCGTCGCCATCACCTGCCTCTCCCTCGCTTCTCAGTACTCAGACTCGGCTGGTTCTTTCACCGTCAGGGGTCTCGAGGTTAATAACCCCCTGGTCTAGCTTCATCATTAGTTCCATCGGTTTTCTTGATTTCTTGATCGGTCGAGTTCTTGATTCTCCAATGCGTACAGGAGGAGGACGGGTTCGTAGACTTGGGCCCCGATGCTCGTTACAGAGCGGACCTGCAGGTGAGAGCCGCGTTGAACGGGGAACTGAACTCGATCACTCCCTTCGCTTTCCTCGACTTCTTCATCCTCGAACACCTGTTCCCTGTCATCAACGGTCACAATCTGGAAATCCCCAAGTTTCGCGCCTCCACTATCCTCTTTCATATCCAGATCGGTAATTTTCAATTTGTCCTCTCCTGGTTATTTTCTGCTTCTTTTCTTGACTCTTTTTTTTTCCCTTCCTTTTTTTCCAGCGGGTGAGAATATGCTGAGGTACAAGCCGTCGGTGATAGCGGCGTCCGCTCTCCTCTGTGCTGTCAACGAGATGTTCCCGCCACCGCAATTTGAGGAGTTCACGCTAGCCGTACGCTTCTCAGAATTTATGGATGAGGTATAATTATATAAATAATACCCATCTCATTGTTGGGCTCACTTCATTTTTTTTTGTCCATACAACAACATATCTGGATTTAATTTGTCGATTTTTCTGCCCTTAATTTGAATGCTTTAGTGTTCCTCCGTTCCTATTCAGGATTTGCTTTTATGGATCTCTTCAATATTAGTTCCTTAAATCTTTAATATTCTGGAGCGGTCCTTCGCATATTTGAAGTTGATGTTAAGTCCATGAATCTTATAGGTTGTTCAAATTTAGTCCCTCTCGTTTGCTGTCGCTTGATTTGAAGAGAATAATACTTTGAAGTTAAAGTTTTGTCAAGAAATATCACTTGTACTTTAAATCCTTCTGTAGTTCAAACCCATTCAGAATCCATACTCGTTAATTTATTATTATCATTATCCCGATAGTTCATCTAGTAAGGGTTAAATGTAGAAATCATTTTCTGGTTAATCACAGATCCATCTAAGTTTGGACAAAAGATTTAAAAAAAAAGAGACACCGGAAATTATCTTTTAAATTTTCTTTTTTCGATGTGTCACTTGACTTTTTTTTTCTATTTTCTAACTAACTGGCGGCGAAATATAGTTTATCGTTTCATGATTCTCACATGACATCTCTGTCTAACTTGAAAAATAATATCGCATGAGGTTTTGTTCAAATATGAACAAAAACATGGTTTTTTCAATACTAATCCCCCGAATGATTCAAAGTTTAAAACTAGTCTCCAACATCTTGATATTTGGACATTAGTCCACCTAATCATCAAGTGTTTTAGAATAAGTCCCCAACATTTCATTTTTTTTGATATTTTAGTCTCCCAATTCGAAGGGCTAAAAAAACACATATGGGGAGTGGGTAATTAATCATTCTATTTCTATTTTAACACCTTGATTTGATTGTGTACTTTTTGAAGGACATGTTGGAGTTATGCTTTGTTGCAATGTGGGAAACAATACATGATGACGAGGAGTGACGGCAGCACAGCTAACAAGAGGCGGGGATTTGATGGCGTGCAGTGTAAATAATTCAAAGATGAAAAAAAATGTTAAAAAGAAAATTACTACGAAATTAGCATATCTCAATGTGTGGTAGAGTTGAGAAGAAATGTACACTGCCGTTCATATGTACAGATACTTGCATTTGACTCTTCAGTGAACTGTACAAAACAGAAAAAGAAAATATTCAAGCCTTTTAATAAACTACTGAAATTGATGGACTAAATGGCACTTAAATATCCTAATGCTTTATTATTTTTAATTTTAAATATCTTAAGTCGTAAAAAGTAGCATAAAAATACTAAAAGTTGTCAGAAAGTAGCACATTGCTACTTTTTGTTAAATAGAAAACATAATATTCCTAGATATATTTCCCATGTGCACATGAATTTTATTATTGTATCGCCCATATGTATTGCTATATTTACCATTTTACCTATCTTTTAATTTATTACTAATATTTTAATGAAGGGTATTTTTATCAAAACTAACAATTTTAGTCTAATTTTAACTGTGGACAACTTGAGGTATTTTTATATAATTTTTTACAGGATATTTAAGTATAAAGATAGTAAAATATTAAGGCTTTTAAGTGCCATTTAGCCGAATAGATGAGATTATCCTTTTATTGGTCCAGTTTCGGACCTCAATAGATGTGAAACTACACTGTATGCCATTTTCTTTTGTCTTAAAAACTGAACCTTCTTGCATGTCATTGCTTGCTGTGGTTTCTTGAACTATAATTTGAAATATATATACCATTTCAGTATATATTCTACAGTCCTATAAAAATCTCTCTCTCATGCAGTTTTAAAAATTTTCTTTTTTTCCATTTTTGTGGCTTCTTGAAATATAAATGTGCGACAGTCTTACCATCGTAATATATAATGAAATTCCAATAAAAATGCCATTAAACTCACTTTGACAAACTAATCAATTGATTCCCCCTTGAAAGTCTTCATGTAAATTCCAGCAGGACTCGTCTTTCTTCAGCGTTAAACTCATCAAAGTTGAGCCAATGTCACCAGCGTTTGTAGTAGGGTATACAAGCAAGGGTTAATTAAGAGGGAAACCAAGCAAGGGTCCAGATCCACGGCCATTTGACGTAACTTATCGCTACTTTCGAAATTTTATATCTTGGAGTAACTATTTCAAGCTACATACAGAACAAATATCAAAAGAACCAGCGTAAAAAACTGATGCAGAACAAGAACATACTTCAAGGTAGCCATTCGTTTCATTTTGGGAAACTTGGCTTGTTGCGGGCAAGAAAGCATCGTCGTGGCGAGACAAATGAGCTGAAACAAGGTTCATGCGCTAACAAGGAATAAGGATATCGCTTTAGCAATAAGGAGACAAAAGGCAATTTGGTAATGATATGCTCCATAGAAGTTGCAGAAACAATAGAGGAAACCATAATGAGATGAAAACTATTCCCAGCATCACTATAATATCTAAAACTCGTGCATGCAAACTGTTGATACCCGTTTCTTTTCAGAAAAGATGGAATTCTAGAATAAGGTGTGTTCACACGTCAGGGAGCCCTACGGATACTGAAACCCTCCATTTACACAACTAATGGTTTGGTCCAGGCATTTCCAACTCCATACAAACTGTTATATTGTACCAAAGATTAAGAAATCTCAGAAGAATTACAAGTTATAGGATCACATAATTATTGTCAATCTAATAGCTCCACAACAGCTTAGATCTTCGGTTCCTGGTGAAAACTTATAATACCTCAAAGTTCATGATGAGAAAAATCCGCAGGTACTATGACCGACGAAGTGCTCCTTATTATTCTCATCATCCATCTACAATGCAAGAACCAAAGAGTCTAAGATCCAGCTATATAATATGAAGATCCCACAAAACTTGCATGTAAGCAATATTTATCATCACAGACCTAAACAAATGAAGTAAGAGTCAAAGGAGCATTAACAGATCCCAAGCCATTAACGAACAGAAGGTGAGAATCTGAAACTAAAACTGGAGGTCACAAGAATCTCATTGACAAGATGAAATTGAAGCTCGAATATATCTTGACATAGCTACATATAAGTTGTCCTCTATTTTCTTCAGCTTCCCCAGAAATCCAGAATCAGGAATCAGACATAGGAGATCCTGAAAGAGTTAACCCCTCTTAAGGAAAGTTTTGAAGTGTCACAGATGAAATGAAAGTATTCTAATAGAACCAGATGTTAAATGGAAGTTAATGCTAAATGTGTCTTTATGAACAATTACAGTGTCAGCCTAACTATAACAGTGTACTTATCTAGTAGAACAAACCATGGCGTCTTCCGCCAAAATAACACAAAGATCGTTATATCAAATTATCAATTTAGGAGAGATTTCATGCAAGTTAACCATTGTTGTAAATCCAATGAAAAGCCCTAACTGTTCCATATCAGAATACAATAACCTGACATACAGAAATGGCGAAAACTGAGCTGCTCAGATAAAAGTGACTGCCTAGTAAAAGGCGGAGGCCACTTAAGTATCATTGGGAGAGTGTAGTTTGAAGTGCAGATGGCTTTACGAATCGTCAGTCAACCCTGCCATATGATAGAAGGATATAAGTTGTTGGATCTTGGTTCCTTGTAGGTCAGCTCTAGATCTAAACAAGTGAAAACCACATTTTGGTAAAGCTTTTACTCACAGACCTAGTGCTAATAGTATTTTTAGTCAGATAATAATCTCAGTTACAACCAAATGTGGACAAAAAAAAGGCCGATGAGTTGAGTTCTGAAGGAGGAGGGGGGAAAAACAAGAAACATGTATAATGTTTTCCACACCAATTGCATCCCTGTTAATGAGAAGATATAACCAAAGAGAGGAAAATTAAAAGCATACCAGTTGATGAGATAGCAAATTTCCAACTTGTCTACTAATCTTTTATTTGCCATGAAAATTCATAGGAAAAACAAAAAGAAGGCTAGTGTTCGATACATAAAAGTATGCCGTATAAAGAGGACAGGATAAGTACTGGCTTATTTTAAAAATTGCAGAGTTTTGTAAACAAATTTTTTTTCCTGAATCCACTTTGACAATCTTTATATGTCAATGGTCATCGTTGCCAGCTGATAGAATAAAGTTTGTGCCAGCACCTTGTCAAATAACTCTAATGAATAATTCAACTCAAGTTACTAGGTTATCTTCCCAGAACTATGCTTACTCAAAAGGAATAAGTTACATTCAAAACTTAATTGCTACATAATTAGTGTCTGAGCGTAAGTCACTTCAGCACTAACCTACATCAGCTAGAATGAAAAGTTACGCGAAATCAATAATATAACTTCCTGACCAACTGTAACTACTGAAAACCCTCGTATTGCATATAAGAAAACTAGGAAGGTTAGATAAACGTGCCATGACACTTATATATAATCAAGTTAATGGACTAAAATGAAAAATACGACGAATATCAGGATGGGTAAGCCAACTTCTTCAAGTAGAAAGCTGATTTGATATGATCAATGATTAATAAACTTATGCATATATAACATTAAACTCGAGAGCCAACAAGCCACTGAATATATAGTAAATTAGGCACAAAGAACACCAGAAACGCAAATGCATGAAAAGGAATATCCTATAACACAAGTGAAACAAGGAGCAAACCATGACATATCAGATAAAAGTGACTGACTGTTAAAAGTTGGAGGTCACTAAACAAAATTCCAAATCGTCTCCTAATCTTTTATTTGCTATGGAAACTCATAACTACTCAAGGAAATAACAAAAAGAAGGGTAGCATTCGATACATACAAGCACGCCATATAAAATACTGGTTTATTTCAAAAATTGCTGAGTTCTGTAGACAAAAATTTTGCCTGAATCCACTTCGACATTCTTGACATACGTCTATAGTCATCATTGGCAGCTGATTGAATACAGTTTGTATCAGTATTTTGATTAAATAACTTTCAGGTAATCTAATTCAACTCAAGTTAGTAGGTTATCTTCCTACCACTTGGCTTACTTGAGGAAATAAGTTATACTCTAGAAACTCACTGTTACATAATTAGTGAATTCTGAGAAGGGAAGTCACTGCAGCACCAATCTACCACTGATAAACTAATCAGCTAGAAGCCTAAAACGAAAAGTTTTCCTAAGATGTGAAATCAAGAATATAACATTTATAGTAATTTAGTAAACAAAGGAAAAAATGGGCAGGTCTGGAAAAGATAATAGATAATCCAACCCTCACTCTCCCAACCAACCATGACTACTGAAATGCCTTGTATTGCACATAAGAAAACTGGGGAAGTTAGATCAATGTGTCACAAGACTTGCAGATAATCAAGTTAATGGCCTAAGATGGAAAATAAGTTTAAAATATGGATAGATAAGCAAACTTCTTCAAGTAAAACCCAATAAGATATGAGAAATGGTTAGTAAACTTATCTATATACAACATCAAACAATTGACAGCCGAAAAGACACTTAACAATAGTAAAGTAGGCACAAAGAATGCCGGAAAGACAACTGCATAAAGACGAATATCATATAACACAAGTGAAACAAAGAGAAAACCATATCATATAATGATATCAGACCTTATCCATGTACATGAATGTATCCACTAGAGAGGAGCATTTACCATTAATACAAATCCAAGCCAATCCAATAGCATGCAAGAGATAGAATATAAATTCAACTAAAATTTTATGTTTAAAAGCCCATTTTACAGGACATTCAACTCACTAAGTATAGTTCACCTTAAGACCATGTTCATCATAGAAACAGGTTTGACATCTAACTGTAGGTAATTTCAACCCATAATAATTTCCTTATAATTTCTGAAGAAAAGTCCCATAATAACATCTGAATCAATCAGTTGGTAAATAACCAAACTATTATTGCCAGCACTTTTTCCTTTGAAATCTCAGCATCCTAGGAATTTGGAGGCCTGCCTAAAATTGCTCGAGTATCTTAAAGTTTTCGCTAGACTCCATCTACTTTTGTCACACATCATCATTTCCAGCTGGTTGAATACGAAATAATAACATATTAGATGCAGTTGATTGTGATGACAACCGAAAGAAATCAAAATGTTTAATTGGCAAGTAAACCGAATGAAACATAAAGATGATTGCAGTCCCAGATTCTGCAAGGCATCCAGCAAGAGAACATGGATAATCAAAATCATTCCTATATCAACTTTGAGCATGACAAATTCTAAGTGCAATATTAAAGGCATTAGTTATGCTTTGTCGTAGTTAGGACCAGTGACCTGACTACATGATTAGAGATCAGCAGTTGGGATTGAATCTTAGAAGAACAAACAAAAATGTCATATAATCCCCCTACTACATTATGAAAGATTACAAGTCACGTACAGCCAGTAAACGACCCATATCTAGTTTGGTTGCCTGACAAAACTGAAAATTCATGAAAATTGATTTCAATTCTAAGAACGTTCCACAACCAGGGCATCTTCTCCATCATAAATTAACCTAATATTTTCCAATCCAGTTCCTGAAAATCTTAGAAGCATACATGATTTCACTTAAATAAATGTTCGTCTACCATAAAACCGAGTAATTTGAGGCTGATTTAGCAAAGCATGGGCTAGAGTTCTCACACACAAGATTATAACCTTTAAGAAAATTCCAGCATTTCAAGTTTTCAACCCATCTACCACGCTACCTCTAGGTCTTGCTTCTGAGATTTAGTTGATGAGGATAAGGCCTTCGAAAATCTCCAAAGTCCGAAATTTTAAATTGCATGTGCTAGGCTTCTGTTCCTTCAATCTTCATCTAAACGACATTCATCGCCCTTTTAAGCTTAAAGCTTGTCCAAACTAGCACATTAGGATCTCATTACAAGGAAAAGTTCACGAAATACCAAGAAACTTGCAATGGAAACTGGCAACCTTGTGCTTCAAGTGGCTCAAGAGTCAAGATTCTGTCCACAATAATCCAGCAAACATACTACATTTTTCATACAATAGAATTTAGGTAATTTTCTGACTGAAAGCTTCAAGAAAAAAAATCTCTTGTCGCTCATCACATTTGCTCACTAAATTCATCATAACCGCTTAATGCTAATTTTAGAGAACAATAAAAGCAGAACTTGGACTTGGACACGGCCATATCAAACAAGGAAATGCATGATTTCATAAGAGGACCAACTATATATAAGTATTGGATAGTCAGTTTTCTAACAAATCAAACTGTATTAACATGCAAAAGAAAACATTTACTCAATTTAGTAACTCCGTTGTGTCAAAGGCATTAGCTCATTAGCCTAGGACAGGTATACTTCTGCAACCATTTTAAGTGGGTCAAATCTGAGCCTAAGTGGGAGTCGTTTCAACTACATGCACATGCAGTGGAATCTGACCTGCAGTGGATCTTTATTCCACTAGTTATAGGGAAAATCACCTCAAAACCAATCATAATGGAATTAATTGAACTAGAGAGCAAATAGGAAGAAAAACTTGTTTATGTTTATTTATGAATTTACACAATAAAAATAATAAATTTAAGGTTGGTATGGATCTGAGAGCAAACACATTAGTTGTCCACTGGGGGAATATAGATTAGCGCTGGTTGTTGGGAAAATTTAGTTAGGAAACAATTGTCAACGGAGTTAGTTGAAGATTGAGCTCAGCGAAACTATGTTTTAGCATTACAGCAATAGTTTATGGACAAGCAAATGCATAGGTATAAATCACTGTCAGTTGATTTCAAACATTATACTATTACCTACATATTAATCAGTAACCTTTAGGGGAAATTATATATATTATTTGTAGTACCCAACAAATAAACTGTCTGCAATTGGGGCATATTAGCTTATTCCTAACAAGTGGTACTAGAAACTGGATCAATTGGATCCAAAGTTATTTGGATAGATTGTACTAATATCCGTGACAAGCGGACGTGAATTTTATCCCAAAAAATTCAAATACCGCTTCACTAGGCCAACCATTACCTGCTATCATCAGCCAATTATGTACACTGTCTCAATATCTCCTTAATTGTCATGTATAATATCATTATCACCCTTCACTTTTTTTTTTGTTGAAAAGATTGCCCAGGTAAACTATAGATGAAATGATTCACTACACATACCGAAAGTGTTACTATCCATCCTTTTTTCTTGCTTGATCTTCATCTAGTACCATCTTGTCCTACAAAAGGAAAAAAGAACGGGCAAAATGTTGTCTTTTAACAATACATTAGGAATGCGGAAGAGGAGTGCAAAAAATTGATGAAGTCAACGAGAAATACAGGCTACCACGTGGTATGCATGGACAACGTAGACCTCTTAAATATCCTAAGGGGTGATTACTCTCAAATTCACATTACCACTAATAGAATCTGCTTCACACCTACAAAGCAAAGATATTGCGACCAACAAGATTTTTTTTTTAAAGTAGGGATATATCGTCGCATATCATCAATTCAAAATAATAGATGTTGACATCATAACCTAAAAAATCCATATAATTTCCCATTTTGTATACCAGATCTATCTCTTATGGCAATTTAAACGCCAGCATCAAATTACAGCACTCAAGCCAAACAAACTAAAGATAAAACAGACAAATTCAATCGAATAAAATCTCAGGGATCGATGGAATCACCTTCGGAGAGCCAACCGTAGCCCCCGCGGGAAACAGAGAGCATCGACGTCATCAACGCCGCCGCGGTCACGCTGTGCATCGGGAGGAGCGATTCAACGCAGAAACTCATCTCCACTGGAGATCTGAAGAATTCAAAACAATGTTAGATTCTATTTAGGGGAAATCGAGGAAACCCTAGAAATGGGATCGAGCACCTGAGGATGCGAGGAGAGGCGATAGGTTTCGGGAAGCGAAACGAAGAGGGAGAGGATTTGGGCTTCGATGCGATTTTGGCGGCGGCGCTGCGGAGAGAAGAGGACCTGAGAATTGATCGAGCGGCCATTGGTGAGAGATTGGAGAAAATGGTTCTGCGTTTTTTCTTGGCGAGGGTTTGGGGACGATGGCTTAAACCCTACTAGCAGATGTGCAAACGGGTCGGATCCTTACTTGTAACCGGATCCGAGTCCTATTAAAATTTCCTTTTGTTTGAACCAAAAAAAAAAGTTAATCTAGCAAAACTACACTATATCTTTTGACAAATTATAAAATTTTACCTTTCCTTCTACGTAATCACCTACGTTCTTTAGAAAGTTTACAGCTTCTGAGTGAAAATCACCATATGAAGCTTTTCAAGATTGAATTCTGCCCCCCTTAGCTTTAACCAATTTGCACCCCCATCCCTATTCCCTTTTTAGCTTTAACCAATTGGTTAAATTTCTAATAATCTCAAATTGGCTGACTCACCGATAGCCCATTGCAAAAACACAAATTGTTGGGTCTGATCACAGATGACATCAGAATTAGTAACTGCTAATTAATTCATGGTTAATAGACAATTATAATTATTTAGAGAAAGTATAAGTAAAAAACACAAATTGTTGAGTAACTAACTACAATTATTTGACGTTAATTGAACATATTTTTGGGTAAGAGACGCTCAGTCGTCTGCACCACCATGCAAGAAATTTTTTTCTAGATCCGTCACTGTTTTGACGGTCTTAGAGTTTAATCCCGAATTGGGTTATTAAAAAAAAAGAGTGCGATAATAAGAAATTAAGGACAAACAACACCTTAGCGAGAGATGGGATTTCACCTTTCGAAGATAATACAATTTGCACAAGCGCAACAGTTACATAGGAAGACATAACCACATGATAAACACACACAAGGCTCAACAGCCTATAATACCATGAACAAATTTCGAGTATTTATTTTATCTCCACGCGACCAAATTTCACCAAATTTCACGGCACGTACTCCTCTTGGCCCTCGTAGTTCTCTCGGCCGTTCTCATATCCCCTCACATCACCGCCGTACTCATTACCCCTGCACCGTTTCCGTAGTTTCCGTACCAGTCGTCCCACCGTTCGCTCGTTATGCCGTCCCCTTACCGTATCTCTCCGCATTCACGCTCATAAGAAATACTTGCCGTTCTCCAAAAACCTCGTATCGCTCCATACCGTGCTGCTATGTCGAAGCTTCGGGAGTTTGGTATCTTGCGCTCTCGTAATTGTCGAACTCCGCATTCGAAAACATCGAAGCGACCTTTCGTCTGTTTGCATTTCCTGTATGCCTCGCGGAGAGCTCGGTTGCCGCGTTGTTAGCTGGCGCGTTTTAAAGGGCTCCTCCGCTTCCGCGAAGCGGGTGGACCTCCTTCGAAGGAGTCGAAGCGTGTGTTTTTGCTGAGAATTGGCGGCTCTCTCTTGCCTTTGAATTTGGGCCAGGGGGATCAGCTGAGAGGGAGAGGCGACAGAGGAGAAGAGAGGGAGGGGTAGCAAGCGCCATGCAGGGAATTTGGTATAGGAGTGAAGCGATGAGGATGCTTGTTGAAGTTTGCGTTAGCGGTGGTGCTTTATATATATAATGGATTTTGCGTTCCTCTATAATTATGTGGCCGTAGCAAGCACAAACTTTGTGCTTGGTAGTAAGGTGTCATATTCCCATCTACTCATTCCAATTCTCAACCACTCTTTAACCCATGTGAATGTGGGCCCTGATTTTAATGAGTGGAGAGGAATATGTCACCTCACTACCAAGCACAAAAACGTGTGCTTGGTACCAAACATGCAAATTTTTTTTATATATATATATTATATATATATATAATATAATGTATATATAATATATATATATATATATATATATATATGAGGCAATATGGGTATACTTGGGCCAGGATCCTTTGGTACGTGATGTGGACACATCCCTTGTTCATACATCCACTTGATTGCTGAGCTCCATGCTTCCGAAGTGTGAGTATGGACAAGATGTGTTCACATCACTACAAGGATCATCTGGTACCAAGATACCATTTCTTCTCTCTCTCTCTCTCTCTCTCTCTGCCTTCCTCTCCCGTCGTTCTCCTCTCTTCTTATATATATATATATATATATATATATATATATATATATATATATAATATACTAATATATATAATATATTATATAGTATATATATATATAATGGATTTGGCTCCTCTATAATTATGTGGCTAATTGGACATGATCTAATTCTCTCAATACTTACTATCTATTTCAATTCTAATGGATGAGAAGAGTTCCACTATTAAAAATAGTGGTTTTGACTGGTTTTCAGGTGGCTTTCAAGATAACAATAGAAAATATTACGTGATGGAATCTCAATCATTGAAAGCGATATAGATGGTAAGGATTCAGAGAATTGAATCCTCTCTAATTACCACTTAATTGAAGAGGAATCAGATCCCTACATTATTATTACTGTTGTTTAGATTTGATCATATTAATAGTTGATAGTGAGTAATGCATTAAAATTCATACAAAATTGGTTGTATTTTCCTATATTCCTACATCATTTTCTATAAAGGGCCCACTGTAGTGATTTTTCCGTGTATTATGGCACCTAGCGCGCCTGAATTAGTAGCGTTTTCGTTCTGATTTGTTGACAAACAGGATTAAAAAATTATCCAAGGAAAAAGAACCATGCTTAAGAGTCAAGATGTTAGGTTGTTAGCATTAATTTCTCTGAAAGAAACAGGAACTCATAAAAAATTGCATCAAGTACAAAAAAAAAAAACTATTTATCTCTCTCCACTAAAATTCACTATTTATTTCTCCGTACAAAACTGGTTGGTGGGTGCGTGTACATTACTTGGAGATCGTTGACATATCGTCTTCAGATAATCACTTTGATAATGGTTTTTTAATAAAGTTTTAGTTCATCTTTTTTCCGTAAGCGGCGGGACTAACGGATAACTTTCAGGTGTTGAAAATCAGTACTCGATGTTGATAGATCTTTGACCTTTATCTCATGTTCGTTAGAAAATTAATATGATCGTCGTCATCAATATTGACGGAATGAAAATGAAAACTGCCGAGATGCACATTACACGGCTGCCATAATCATTGAAGTTTTTAATTTGTTCCAAAATTTCTCTACTTAGCAGCATAGTACATATGCACCGAGTAAAAATCAGAACCAAACCTAGCACGAGCGCTGGCCACTCTGATACATTTATTTCATACTGCAGTTGGTTATTTATACAACTAACATACAATGTAATCATAATGGCATATTAGCCTCTGCCTCATTCATAAATCTTCAAAAGGAATAATATGATGAAATCAAAAGGGGCACCTGCAAGGTTCAATCCCCCAAGTCTT